CCCCAAAACCCCAAAACCCCATGAGTTAAAATTAAAGTTAAAATCATCAATCAAAGTAAATACCTTTTTAAATCATTTTATTTATATAGTTTTAAATATAAATGAGGAGTATCTTAATCTAGATGATAATTATCTTGCTAGCTGCAGGATAATATCAATGCATAGATGATTCATTACAATTTGATAAGCTGTCTAGAGAATATTTGCTAGCTCTCTATAAGAACCAGTACTTAGAAGAATTTGGTAACAAAACTATTATGCTAGCTAACTGTAAAGATAATCCAATCTATGACGATCCCATCTGTGAAACTATTGAATAAAATATTAATCAATTACTTGAAGTTGAAGATAAAAATGATTAAAGCAGTAGAGTTCTAAAAGATGTTATAGTGAATAAATATCTCTATTTCAAACTTGACTGTACTGAGGAGCTTTACAGAGATCTATGTAAATCCTATGATTTATATAACGGCAGAAAGTAGAATCTTAGATTCATTGTCAAAGATTAAATTAATAAGCCAAAGGTATATACTTATACGTCACATGCTGAGGACAGAGAGGCTCTTAAACTAAAATTAATTAAGATGGCTTCGAATGAAAGTGTTTAAATATACAATGGTCCATACAGAGATTTAGAGAGTCATGAAATCGTGAAGAAATATAAGAGATCCATTATAGTATTAGAGTCTAAAAATAGTGTAGTAAGGAAGGTTTTTTACTAGTATGCTGAAAAATATAAGGAAAAATACTATGCTTTTGAAGTTACTTAGATTACTCATCTAGATAGAGAGAATTAGGTTTATGCTATTCAGCCAGATGGATATATCTAAGAATTCCAGGTGCCAGTAAATAAAAACTATGAAGCTATTACTGAGATAGAGATTTAAAACATTTTTAGAATAAATGCTCTTCCAAGAGCAATAGTCTTGAGAAGCTAAGTCATTAATAATCCTTAGTTTCTTAATGCTTATGGCTACAAGACAATCTTCGTGGGGTTGATCGATTCCCTTTCAGATGATTTCCCAGCTGAGTTCGGCTATAAATTCCGCGACTGGTCAAATTAGCACACTGGCAATAAACATATAGCCTTCGCCATATTAGATTGGTCCTTTGTAGACAGAATGAACCCCTTTATATTTTAATAATACGGATTCAAACAAAAAGACACTAACACTGTATTTGCTATAAGCAATGCTTTTGATGGCAATTACTTTAAATAATACGAAAAATATAACGGCACAAACTTTGATTAGATATCTGAGAGATTTTTGTAAGGGGTGCTTAATGGAGAGGAAAATTTAAGAAGTTCCTCTTGGAAACATTAATACTTGAATATATTAGATTTGGATTATTGGAAAGAATGGACAATTTATAGATTCTTTAAGCATGCCGTGTTGAAATATTGATATACTTTTATTTTTAAAAACGATTTTAACCTTTAATATGATACAATGGGGTTTTGGGGTTTTGGGGTTTTGGGGTTTTGGGG